AGCTCAAGTAAACCAGTCCTACCAAAACCAAAGAAAGAAAAAGGAAATAATAAAATGAATATAAATGTGTCACTAGAAGACTTACAATTTTTTTAATACGGCCAGCCCAGGATTATTGTTTTGTCTATTCAGAACAGTGTACATCTCCCTCTTCCAAACAGAGACGGAGAAAGCAGGATTTCTTGTGGCTGAGGACGCGCGGCTCCCCGAGCGGCTAACTCACAGCCTTTCAGTGGGGTGAGATCAGTCCACGGCAGTGATGAGTTACTATTTTGTGAGGTGTCACTCGGGGTCCAGCAGCAAGGTGACTTCATCGCAGTTGATTCGAACAAAGAGACTTGAACAAAAGCAACCCCTGTAGAGGCCTCCGGCAAGGGACCACAGCAGACTGTGGCTGTGTCCCCAAAATAAGCACCAGTAGGAAGCTTCCGCCTCCTGGAGGGCTAAGGGGAAGGAGAGGAAATGCTGTCCCAGAGCAAGAGGAAGCCATGGCTGCAGGAGAAGCTGTAGCTAGAGAGGACTCAACTACGGCCAGATGAGCAGCCCTGAAGCAGCAAAGGGTTTGGAAAGAGACACTAGCTGTCGCCTCCGTCCTCTGACTTCCTGCTGACTCTCCCAAGGCTGAACCCAGGAGGAAGCCAGAGATCCCAGTGGTTCAGTGCACAGCACCCCGCCAGACATGGAGGACGAGAGGGAAAGGAGGCGAGTGGAAATGGAGGGGGTGAGGACCAGCCAGGACAGGGGAGGTGACCCACTGCTGTGGGAAGGATGGCAAAGGAAGGTCAGGCAGCGCCAATCACAGCACACCCTGCAGTGTGCAGCAGGGACCAGCCTCACCAGCACGACTAGATCAGCGAGTGGGTGACACTCAGTACAGTTAATCCTGTCATTTTTAGCTGGTCAAGTTTAATTACACCAACTTGGCAAATTGGGACATTTTGAAAAGTAGCTGTAAAAGGGAACCATCCCTGCATATCTGAACCTCGGTTTCTCCTCACCAGAAAGAAAAGTCTCCCTTGCAAGTGTGCTGTGAGAATGAAAGGCCCAATCCTTCACATGTGGTTTTTTACTATTTTCTTCTTATTTTTATTATCATCTTACTCTCGTTAACAATGTCACAAGTGCAGCCTGCTTCTGTGTAGGTTACCTATCGTGTGGCCCACAGTTGGTAAGTTCTAGAAAATTCTACTGTGATCTAGAATACTCAGCACATGCTTTGGCTTAGGGATCTCCTGAAGACATAATCACATCGCTGTCTGAATGATGGTTTGCAGTTATAAACCTGTCCCACGATCAATATCATGCCAAACTTCGGAGTGTCCCAATAATTAGCACCAATGCTTTAAGAAAAGGAAACTGAGACTGAAAGGTACGACCAGATTTTCTGACTCCAAAATACATCCCACTCTTGCCCTGCATTGCTTTTGGCTTTCTACCTGTCAGTGTGTCACCTCCCATGTCGGGGTATCATTTGGAACCTACCAAAGAGATAATGTGCACTTCAATTTTTAATTTAATCTAGTACTCTTTATGGACTGATATCACAAATAACTTCCATGGCTTATCTTTGCTTGTGAAAGCAGCCTGAGAGCTCAGCTTCATCAGGAGAGACAGTCTTGGGACAAATAAGTCCCTGCCATGGAGCTGTACTGACTTCATTGAACCCCAAAGGACTGTCTTGTCAGCTTTGGGGACGAGCACCCCAGATGCCTGATGTGACTATCAGAACCCGCACATGTGCCAGACTGGAATCTTTCTATCACAGCTCATTCTGGGTGACCTTCCTAGGTACCAAGTCCTCAAATGAAAGACACAGACTCTCTTCTCCCCTGTCCTGCCCTCATTCAAAGGAAAATGCCTGAGCACCCAGGAGAGGAAGGATGAGAATAGAAGGAGGAATATTTTCCAAGCTTTTTAAAGCATGAAATCTTGATGGATTTCATCTCTGCCAAGTCACACACTACCAACCTATGAAATTACACTGAAAACCCAAAGGTTGGAATAGGGCCCTTTGCAGGTGATGGCACTCTGTGACCTAGGTGGTCCCATTCTCCTTGCTAGAAAGGAAAATAAAGGGGGAGAGTGAAGATTTGACTTGGAATATTTTATTTAAAAATAATCTTTTAGGGCTGGGGGTGTAGCTTGGTGGCAGAAGGCTCGCCTAGCAAGTGGAAGCTCTGGGTTTCATTCCTGGCACTGCAAAAAATAAAGACAATCTTTTAACAACAGGCTCCAGGCTGGGGGAGGGGGGCAAGGCCTACAGGCGACTTCCTCCCAGCTGCTCTGGGAGGAAGTGGGGCACAGTGGTTTCCAGCAGGGCTTTGGGGTCCCACAGACCTGCCAGAGCGTACTGCTGCCGCCACATATCTGCTTAGGCTTAGGCTTTCACATACCAGAGCAGCCTCAGTTTGCTCATGTAAGAGCAGGCTCGTTATGATGTGAGCCCTACACACTGTGTGGTGTAGTGACCCGCACATCTGAAGCACTCAAGAAACTTTTACCGGTAGGATGCGTTCAGTTTTCTTGTCACTCAGACTTAGTTTTGTCACACTTGTTTCTGCTGCCCCCTTCACCTAGTCAGTGTAAAGTAAGACAGAATGGCATTGCCTTGGAGGGAATGTTTGACCTCTGTCCCCCAATTCCTGTGCAGATTCTAACCCCAAAGTGACGCACTGGAGTTGGTAAGGTCGTGAAGTTGACACCCTCGTGAGTGGGGTCAGTATTCTTGGAAAAGGTACTCAGAAGAGCAGGTCTCTTCCCTCTCCATGTGAGGGCATAGCAGAAGACAGCCATCTGAAAACCAAGAGGTCCCCAACTGTGGTGGTACCTGATTTCAGTCCTGCCTCCAGAAGGCACGCCATGCAAGGTCGGCCCTCAACGGCCACCCCACACTGAAGGAGACAAGGAAAATGACTCCAAGCCTTCGAGTCACTCTTTATTGCAAATGAGAGCACGTTTAATTTTGCTCCTTGGCACCTTGCAGAATAGACATGCAATCATCTGCAAAAAATCCTGCAAGTATCAAGTGTAAGAATGTGTGCCTCCTCAAACAGACAAAAATAAAACATATGCCTATGTAGAGCTCACAGCACACACGGTCCCCCCCTGCCCCCTACCCCCAATGTGACCCATTTTCCCTTCTTGCCCCTCAAGGCTGGCAAGGTCGCTTTCTTCCCAGAACCACTCTGCAGCATGGAAATCAAATTTCAATCTTTCTCTCTCTGGTTGGATTTGACACAGCTTCACTTAGCTACGGTCCCTATGCTAGGCTGCGGGGACACTGACCAGGAGCTGGCATTGCTTTAGGGAACACAGAGTCTGACACTGGCTCAGTGGCCACCAGACGCCCACTGTGGAGGGTTCACACCTGCCCTCAGCATGAGGCTTCCCAGAGGGAACTTTGAACTTGGCTCCAGTCAAGTAAAGACCTCACTAGTGTGTACTTGCCCAGGGGATGGCAAAGCCACTGTGCCCTCCTTGGCCTTCCCTTCCTCCTCAGCTTTCCCATCGAGCTTCCTCTTCCCTCAGTGCCTGGGCTCTTTCCACTGTCAGATATCTACCACACACAGCTTGCAACAAAAAGGAAAGAGAAACGTTGGGGACCACCACCTTCAGTGAGTGGAAATTCACTCACTGCAAATGCAGACTGGTCTTGAAACGCTGTGATAATTATCAGAGACCTTTTGTGTGTTGGAGGACATGGGACCCAGCCTCCTCCCCCTGCCCGTGAGCCCTTCAGCCCTCCAGCCTCAGGATGCCCAAAGCCAAGAACCACAAATAGGGGCTCTCGAAGTCAAGGGACACAGGTGCCAGAGGCCAAGACCAGCCACAGGACCAGAGGGCTGAGGTACTGGCAGGGAAGCAAGGCACTCCTTCCCCCAGAACTAAGGTCAGCCCCAGGCCTTTGACTGGATGTGGGTGAGATGAGAAAGGAGGAAGCAAAGTCTGGCGGTGGGGGGAGAAAGGGGGAAGGGCAGATGGGGAGGGAGTGTAAATTTGTTTTTGACACAACTGTAGCTGTAAAGAATTGGCCAAAGAAGGGAATCTCAAGACTTGGTTTGGTTCATGTCATCATAGTCGTAACATTGTCATTTATGCCAGCTGCCCTACGTTTTATGTGCAATGGACTTGCTATGCCAGGACAGTGGTGTGCGTCCACAAATGTGTCCAAGTGGTTGTTTGTTTGATCTGATCGGGGGAGTAAATGGTATATATGTGGTGTTGCAAATGACATAGCTTCAGTTTCTTCCTAGGTTATGGAAGCCTCTGCTCTCAACTTAAACAAACGAGAGAGCATTGCTTTTAAGGTACTGGAGGGAATGGGGTGTGTGCCTGTGTGTGTGCGTGTGTGCCTCTGTGTGTGTGTGTATGTGCATGTGTGTGTGCATGTGTGTGTGTGCATGTGTGTGTGCTCCCTTACATACTCAGTATTTCCCCTGATAACTTTTTACTACACAGCCTTTCCTATTCCCTGCCATTGGGATTTGGGATTTTTCTTTCACTCATTAACTTATATTCATGAAATAGTAAAAGCTATCAATTGTACCATTCCAAACCCTGACACACATATGTAGGCACCTTCCTCATTATTTTAACTAGATGTAAAATTAATAAAATATGTTGTCATACCAGCCAAGTGTAGAGTTTGCATGAGAACAAATTTGTCAAGCAAACCATCACACAGAGCTTTGAGCCTGTCCTCTTTCCCAAGACCTACAACCAGGCAAAAACCCCTGTCAGAGCTGGGATGTAGCTCAGAGGTTCAGCACTTACCTAGCATGAGCGAGGCTCTGGGTTCAATCCCAGCACACACAAAAAAAGAAAAGACAAAAACCCCATGTCAGAGTTGCAGGCAAGGCAGGGTGGACTGCAGGTGACAAGAGATTCCCTCACTTCTGTTTCAAGTTCTGCTGCTATTCCACCTAAAGTGTTTTGCTTCGATCAGTCTTAGTGAATGAGGCAGGAATAATTAGTGCACAACTGAAGTTCTTTGGGTGAAAGATAATATTATAAATAAGAAATGCCTTTTTATAATTACAGAGACAAACAGTGGTAAGTTTAAAATCACTAGGCAGTATTAAAATACCTTATGGAACTGGGTTTTACATTACAATTCTCAATAACAACAATGGAAAATGAATTGTAAAAATGAGTTCGTGATTATTTTAAAATTTGATTAACTAAAGCAATCCAGCAGACAAGTGGTGTCAACCCAGTGACTGGTTCAGGTGAAAATTAACACTACAAACATGGCAGAGCCCACACCATTATTTCACTTAGACAGCACTTTGTTCCCAAGTATACAGGAAAAGATAACTAATTACATACAAGAGTGATACGATTTGTTGTCATTTAAATAAAGTGTGTCTTTCACTATGGAGTACTTGAAGAACTCACTCAGTGTCCAAAATTATGGAGGCCATTCTCGTTTCTTTAATGGAAGACGGAATATTCATTATGGCTTTCCAGGGATTTCGCTGACGGTACTGGACAAGGAATCATTTAGAGGGTGACGTTAGTCAAAACATGCAATGGCCAGGTCTTGTCCTTGTATCCAAAAGCAAAAGCTGCTTGGGAGGGGCCCAGAAGGAGCCTCGACCTTCCCAGCTTGCCTCTCCCCCTGCCCCTGTTGGTCTCGAGGGTGAGTCCTGAGTGTTGAGGACGTGCTGGGATCTAGAAGATCTTACACTCACTGATGGAGAAGAGCCCCCTCCTGTTTCGTCTCCTGGCCTGGTTGACGGCAGTCCGGACAGCACACTCGAACACCTGCTGCACCCCCCGGTTGCTGAGGGCCGAGCACTCCAGGTAGCCCTTGGCTCGCACATCCTGGGCCAGTCTCTTCCCTTCGATGGCGTTGATGCAGGAGGCCCTGTGGGGCCCCACCTCCCGCTGGTCCGTCTGGGTGGCCACCACCAGCACGGGGGTACAGGGCAGGTTGTTCCTGATCTCCCCAATCCACTTGTTCTTCAAGTTCAGGAATGAGTTATGGTTGGCCACAGAGTAGCACATTAGCACCACATCGGCCTGCTGGTAGGACAGGGGGCGGATGCTCCTGAAGGCATCATTGCCAGCCGTGTCCCAGAGGCCCAGGCTGATCTGGACACCATCCATGAAGACGTCCACCCCCGTGTTCTCATACACTGTGGGCTTGTAGGCCTCTGGGAAGGTCTCAGAGGTAAAGCGCACCAACAGCGAGGTCTTCCCCACGGCGCTGTCACCCACCAACACACACTTGATGGAACTCAGCATCTTCCGGCCTGGGGTCCACTTACACGTCCAGGATCTCGAGGACAGAGCCCTCAGTGGGCTGCTGCAGCCAGTGCCATTCAGCAAGGGAGAGAGGACCAGGCAGGCTTGTGCTCTGAGGGACTCTGGTGACAATCTGTGGATTTTACTTCTCCCTGTCCACCAGTGGGGGCTTGAGGGTGAGGGGTGGGGACAGGCACCGTCTACTCAGAAAATCTCTGCAGCCTAGTCTCCAACTGGAACAGAAAGAGAAGGGGGAAATTGAGTCTTCCTTTTCTGATGACAACTGCCATACCTGAGGAGCCCATGTCAGAATAACCAGCCAAGCCCACTTGTCTCACTCTCCTCCTCCCCTTGGCAAAGTAAGCTAGGGACAGATCCCCTCAACACTCATGCCTATAATGTCATCTGGGCAAGTAGATTTTTTGGGGGGAGAATAGAGGGTGGGATTGGGTTTTGAACTCAGGGCTTCTCACTTGCAAAGCAGGTGCTCTGCTTGAGCCACACCTCTGGGCCACTTTGCTCTGGTTATTTTGGAGATGGGGGTCTCATGGACTATTTAGCCAGGCTGGCCTTGAACCGTGATCCTCCCGATCCCAACCTCCCAAGTAGCTAGCTAGAATTGCAGGTGTGCACCATTGGCACCCAGCTCAGAAATAGAAATTTCTTTAAAATTAGCCTGGTGAACACCAGGCAGGGTGGTACCCACCTGTAATCTCAGTACTCAGTGAGGCCGAGACAGGAAAAGCTCAAAGTCAAGGCCAACCCAGGTACATAGTGAGAGCCTGTCTCAATAGAACCAAAAGAAACATAAAATAAAGCAGTCTGGAGTAACAGCACAAGGGAGAAAGACCTCAGATACTGACCCGGCCTGCGAGCTTGACGCTTCCAGGAACTCTCCTCTGCCTTCTGCCCCCAAAGCGGGGAAGGCAGCTGAGCACGCACTTTCTGTGGCTTCAGGTCCTGGCGGGTTCCAGCCGCTTTGGGAACTGCAAGAAATAAATAAGTGTATGAGCAACAGCTACTGCACGCATCTCCCTTGTTTACTGATTAATCACCCAGTCCTTGGGTTGTGTGGGAATTCACGTTGAGGCAGAGAACAGAAATCAGCAGAACCCTAACAACCCACTGTCCTTTCTCCTGTAGATTTCCTGCACAGCTGAGCACAGATGGGGTGGACTATCTTTGGCACACTCCGTATGCATGTCTGTGCCATCCTGATGAATTTAGGGACACTTTTCAATGATGTTATGAGGATTAAATTCACTTGCTTATTTTTTGGATAGGGCTGGGCTGGACCATGATCCTTCTACCTATGGCTTCCCACATGGCTGGGATGGCAGAAGCTCCCCACCATGCCTGGCTTATTGGTTGAGATGAGGTCTTGCTAACTTTTTTGACTGGACTGGCCTCAAACTGTGATCCTGAGTAGCTAGATTTATAGGTATGAACCACTGCACCTGACCCTAAATGAGTTCTTTCTTCAACATTTTTTAGATGGCCACCTGCATATCAGAAACTCTGCTAAGGCTCCTGGTTAAGCAAAATAACTTTCTGGAAAGCAACCACATACAGCACTTTTCACTTAAACCAGACTGCAGAAATATGACAGGATATGAATTTTATGAAAAAGACAAATTCTCTTTTGCTTGCAGACAAGAGAACTCCAGGCTGAGTTCAGTGTTGGAGACAGTAGTTCTTGTGCTGAGGCACATTTTTGCAAGGCCAGCCCTGCCTGGGACAAAGAAAAGGTCTTTCAGCCCAAAACTCAGAGTAAAGGTTGCAAATGCAATCTGGCTTTATAGCCTCTCCTCCCGCACCTTCCTGACATATCACATGTAAAACCCAGGCCAGACAGACCTCTGCAAAAGACATATTTTTACAAATCACTCCTCCTAATCCTGAAGTTCCCTGCCAAGACATTTTCACCCTTGTCAACTCACAGTCTCTATCTGTTTAATTATACACGACAGTCTCTGCAAATGGATTAGCAGATAAAGAAGTCACATGCTTTTTGTGAATTCATTGTTTTTAGACACATGGAAGCTGAGTGACCTTGGCCAAGTTACTCAACCTGTCTGAGTCTTGGTTTCCTCATGAAAGCAAGTTGTACGAGGAGTCATCGTGTTATCTCTTTTCACTATTTGCTTGGATGCCAGACATTGACAGTCCCATAGCATAGGGATGGGAATGTCAAATGTGCAGCTGGGCTCCCTGAAGTCTCACACTGGGCTACTCTCGTGTGCAGTAGTCCTGGACACCGCCTTGTCGCCAGACCTTGGAGGAAAGGGCTGCACAGTGTCACTGTCAGAATTTAGCCCCTGAGACCAGGGATGACTTACATGCATTTTCTACTTGTTTCTGAGCTAAGACCTCTGACACATTTCAAATTTTATTTTGATCCCAATACAGAGGAACTGGAATTAGGGAAAATGTACACATGTCAGACTTTGGGTTATTAGAAATACTTTGAATGACTGACGGCCAGGTTTCTTGAATGAATATGGCTGAAAGGATGTGGAAAAGACATGATGTTAAGAACAGAGGCTTGAAAGTCAGGTAGACTTGCAATTGAACCTGAGCCGCTCAACTGTCTACCTGCATGATGACCTTGGAAGAGTTTCTTAACCTTCCCATGCCTTGATTTCCCCCTGTAAAACCAATGTGATAATATCTACATCGCAAGCTTTTTGGCAGTATTCAGTGTGCTTAAATGTATAAAAGCCTTAGCCTGACACATTCCGTGAACACACTGTATGTACATATCAAACACACAGACATGTTCTTATTGTCAGCGACATTATCAAATGATTACTTAATATAATGATAAGCTGGCAGAGTGGCTCAAGTGGTAGAGAGCCTGCCTAGCAAAAATTGGGCCCTGAGTTCAAAACCCAGTACTACCAAAAACAAGTTAATCTAAATTTAATGATATGCAATTGTTAATTGAAAAGTGGAACTTGAAGCAGCTGAAGAGGTTTCTGTGGCAAAAGGAGGTCTATGTAGCTTATTCCCAGATGTGACTATTAAAATAAATGAGAAATTTCTTCTTATAGCATAAATACAATATTACGTGGACAAAGAAATTCCTTTCTAAGCTTTGCTACCCAGACAGCTCCAAAAAGCCAGACTGGAGAGAAAGGGTCTGTTGAGTCGAGTGACCATCACAGCACGTAAGTCAGCTCTTAGGGCCTCAGATTCCCAAAGGGAATTGAGGAGATTAGCTTTCTTGGTGGTTCTCCTGAGGCTGAAGCCAAAGAGAACTACATTCCCTGCCACAGTGAACCATGAACACAAGCCACATTGTCTTTCCATAGCAGTAAAGATGGGTGGTGAACTTGAAGTCAGGCGAGGCCTTCAGGAGACGGGGGAGGGGAGGGTGCCCCAGTGCAGGCTAGAGCAACACCTTGGGCATGCTTGGTGTTTACTCTTCAGAGTGTGTCACATGTGCTCATGGGGGAGCCACAGTGGACCGCCCCATCATCATGACGGAGTGATGGCTGGATTTCAGTGGAATTTCTCTGAAAGGGGGAAGTCCTTGCTCCAGTGGCTCGTGAGTGGAAAATAAAAGCATAATGTCGGTGGTATTTCATGAGTGGCTCAGTGGCAGAGTGGCCCAAAGGAACGTCCCTCCATACAGAAGAGTCACCTTGAGTGTCTTCAGAGAATGTCCTGAGTAGTCCCACCAAGTGACTCGTTAGGCTGCTCCTCTAGGGCTTCAGTCAGACTGCAATCAAGGAGCCTTGGACGCCAGCAGTTTGATGGACCTGGTTCCTCTTTTCCTTTCCCCTGTTTCTATCATTTCACAGAAAAGACACCTCCATGTTTCCCTCCATGTTTCCAACAGAGACACAGAGGAGGGAAGGGAGCAAGGTGCGGGGACACTCTGTCCACTCTGGCAAAGGGACAAAGGTAGGCCAAAAGGAGGACTTTGGAAATGAGGCCTCCTAATCCATTTCCTCTGAGGCACCAGTGGAAAATCCTAGTTTTATGTCAGCCTCAATTCTCATCTCATCCTCACAGACACCATTTTCCACAGACACAGCCCCTGCTTTTCTATTTGCTAAAAAACCTGCCCTTCACTCTTCAAGTCCCACCCTTCTGGAACATCTTCCTTAATACCTCCAGCCCCAACCCCACTACATCAGATGTCCCCACTGTGTCCCCATAATTCTCTCTATATACACTTGACCTCAGAATCATCTCACTCTGCTGAAATGGTTGGTCTTCTTGTGTTTAACCCTCATTTGTAAAACTGGAATGAGATCTTCCCTCCCTTCTTCCCAGGGAACTTGCAAAGGCTGGGTAGAAGTAACAACATCCAGAGATCATTCCTGCTTGTATTTTTACCATACTTTCTACGTGGGGGATACTCTCTGCTTGCTTTGTTAGAAAGCCCCTTCAGAATGATATAGCATAATACAAAACGAAGTGGAATGATGACTACTAGTACCTAACTTGTACTGCAAGTCCTAGGGCAGCTGGCTTTGATGGAGGTGGCTTATTTCAAGATGCTGATGGAATCCTCAGCTGTCTTTTATCAAAAACATGAATCATGACAGCCACTGGCTGGGACAGCCTGTCAATTACGGAGGACAGCTGACAATGGAAAGGAAATTGGTTCAAGAGCCCATGAATGGAGCACATTGAGATGAGCAGGAAGTCAGCGTGGTCCTCAGCAACCCACCTCCAGCCAGCACCTCTTACCAGGGATGCCAAGCCCAACTGAGACATGACAGCAAAAGCTGGTAGTCTCAGGATGGGTGAACCTAGAGGGAGCTCTCCCTCCCCAACTGCCAAGGGGCCTGGTGCTTGCTTTTCCTTTCTCCTCTTGGGGAGAAGGGAAGCAATTCAAAAATCTTAAGTAACTTAATAGGGGAAAAAAGCAACTATCTCTCAAGCTTACCACTTCAAGTTCTTACTCAGCTTTTGTTCTATCATAAATACACACTTGGATGTATTTTCTAAACACTTTTTCTGATTTTTAGAAATTCCTACTTCAACAAAGTCTGAGCACTTGGATGGTTTTAGCTAAATAGCTTTCCATTGTTTAACAATTTGTAATTGCACAGTTATTCCTCGTTTGTTAGCATAGCCTTTGAGTTGGTTCTTCAATTTCACGATAGCCAAGTGGATCTGTGTACACATATATGTACACATACAATATCATATATGTACAGGTGCATTTCTAAGTTACTTCTATGCGAGATGATTTTCTTTGGGGATATAGTCTCAAATGTGACATTACTGGGCCAGTGGGTCATTTTGTGGCTACTTTGTTACATTTATGGAGCACCTTCCAGGTAGTATGCCAAGAACTCTGTACATAGTACTCATTGGTTGTTTCAGAGCGTGCTGTGTGTCATGGGTCCGGAGGACACAATAGCAAACACGTGTCGCTGTGTTCGTGGTGATGGCCGGGCCATCACTGTGGGGAGTTTAGGGGGATATTAAGAGCCTTGCCCTTGACCACTCGGTGAGAAACGGCAGGGGTGAAGTTAGACCCACAGAGTCTGACTCCGAAACATCACCAGCACTCACGTCACCCACACCTGGAATTCCCACAGGGTCTCTCCACGTGTCCCAAACACAACCATGCTTCCTATGCAGACCCACCTCCAAGACACTTCTCTGGCCATCCTCCAGCCATACCTTCCTTCTCTTATCTTCCTACAGACAAGGCAATTCTTGGTATTTTAAAGGAGACTGTCGTTTCTTAGTCCAAATGCTGGTTCCACAAGTATGTTTGAGTTGCAAAACTTCCACAAGCTAAACACTCGGGATTTTATTCAATTTCTGTATGTATGTTGGCTGGGCATATGACTCAAACAGTAGAGTGCTTGCCTAGCATGTAAGAAGCCCTAGTTTCAATCCCCAGTACCACAAGAAAAAAAAAAAGAGAGAATTTTTCTAAAAAATAAGCTACTGAAACTTGGCCTGGTGGTACATGCCTGTAGTTCCAGCTACTTGGGAGGCTGAAGCAG